GACAAATCATAATTAATTTTCGTTGACATGACAACGGAACCATCATATTCGATTTTACGTTCTCCTACTTATTCAAATTATCAACGAGAGTAAATTTATTATTCATTATTTTTCGTTAAGTAAAACGAAATTGTAAACCAAGTCCAAAACTAAAAAAAACTGTATAAAAATCAAAAATAGTTATTGTGGGCTTACTGCAATGTATGTGCTGGAGCATGAGAAGGGTAAGGCTGAACTTCACCGCTACTGCTGAAAGCGGCCATTCTCTTCTTCTTACTTACTCTTATAGTAAATACCGCAATTTCTTTACTAATGTTTTGTATAAAATTTTGTGCGTGTCAAAAGATAAGTAAAAGACATTATTAATAGAAAATTTTTTGGTCATGAAATTTCTAATTCAGGGGTATAGCGAATGGTCTATACTTACCCGGCGCGACGAAGCCTGGGTCTCTAAGCCGGGAAGTAGTTTTTGCCAACTTTGCACGTACTTATTAAAAGTTTTCTATCTCAGCTGGTTTTTGATCAATCAATTGATCGATACTTTTTGAAAATCTTCTTTCATTACTGAGGGAAATCTATGTCGCTGAATGAAGCTGGAGCGAGCCGCGTAGCAGTCCCAATATCGCAAAAAATTAAAGTGTTATGAAAACTAAGAAAATTCTAATCTATTGAAATATTATAGCAAAAAATATACAGTGTAAGCTATGCCTCAAAAATTCTTCATTTTACAATAATAATTAGTTGATAAGTGACAATAAGCTATCATGATAAAAATTACAAGTTTTCAACACTTGAATTATTCAAAACATTCAAGCTATAATAAAAACTGTGCCTTATCTACTACGCATCCAAATCATAACTTTTAGAAAAGTACTGTAGTTAATGAAGTAATCATCGATACCTGACTATATTCGAAAATTCACGTTTTTTATATTCGAAGGGCTACGAACAATATTTCAACAAAAATCGTCTTCGTACTTCAACAATTATAAGAAGCAAAGATAAAATGAACGTTTAAGAAAATATAATTTGCCGTTTTGCAATAAATAAATAGTTAATCAGCAACAATAGAGTATTTTCGGTAACTTTAACAAGTTTTAGTACTTTTTCAGTATTCCGAAAAATATTTCAGGACCAACTCTGCACCTTATAAACAGTATGTATAGAGGTACATAACAATTCTTAAAAAGAGTACATTTTGCCGTTTTGCGATGAATAATTAGTTGGTTAGAAAAAATCGTGTATTTTTGTAACTTTTTGAAGTTTTCTTACTTTCAAAGGCTCCGAACAATAATTTAGGATTTAACTAAGTATGTACCTTGTGAATGATAAGCATAGTAGATATTTAAAGAGGTTTTTAAATAATACACTGTGGCATTTTAAAATGAACAATTCGTTGGTTACCGAAAACCGAGTAGTTTCGTAACTATTTTCCAGTCTCATTCCTTTTAATTGCTCCAAACTATATTTCAGAACTAACCAAAATGTGCACCTTATAGACAATACGTACAAAAGTTAAAAATAAGTGTTAAAAGGGCTTACTTTTCGGTTCTGCTATAAATAATTAGTTTCGTTAGTAAAAAACGTGTATATTCGTTGAGTCATGGACATTTCGCCCAAACGACAAATCGCCCACCAATGAGGAGACGGTATTAAAAAAATCGCCCACCAATCAGCGTGAGGGTAGTTTAACAGTTTACGCTTACTCGAGGGGTTACGGGAGCATACTCAAATGGTAACGACAAATGATGATACCGTTGGGTGTACGGTAGGTAAGATATCTTTTATTGATTATGTAGGTAAAATATGATATGCCGAATGTTCTGTAGATGTCACGGCTAGTATTAGATAATGTTGACATCACTACTACAAGTGAAATGGCTGTGAAACTTAAGTTAAAGCCAATAAAAATCATTTAATTCAAAAATTGAAATCACTACTTGATAATAAGAAATCCATTGTTCGTAAATTAATGTAAGTATTTCCTTTAATCTTAAACAATTTGGCCGTTTGATTTTCTAGAAGAATAAATACGTAATTGACTTTACACACAAATATACTTACACAATAAAACCTTATTTAGCGCTTATTTTTCATTTACACATCTCTGTAATACCTTATTTTAATTTAATTATTGTTATTTTTTGTAATACCATCGCTATTTTTAAAATACGACTAATATCTTACTTTCGCATAAATATTGTATCAACTTTTAAATGTCTTTAACGATATTAAACCTGCTGTTAGGTACGATTTTTAGATTTTGAAAATTAGTTATTTTTATATTCTAAAATATAGTAACTAACGCGTTATCCAATTTATACATTCATTTACCTTACATATAATTAATAAAAATACAATTCTACTGTAGACATTACTTAATCTTATGTATCATTTATAGAGATATTCTCATTCCGAGTATTTTTATTGCGTCATCTCGTATCACTATCATCCGAAATACTACGATTATCTTACAACATAAGACATACACAATAGATAAATGTTAGAAAATTTTATTACTCGATCTCTTAAAAAAGTTCTTTTATTTTAAGTATTTGTAGATGCTAACAAAAATTATTTACCCCTATTATGGTAGTCTAGCTTAACATTTTTCTGCTTTTAAAGCTTAGTTTTCTCTCATTTTGACAGCCACAAATTAAAAAAAAAATGTACCAACGATTTATAATTGAAAGTATCAATACTGATTTACATTCCACATAATAATTAAGATTTTTATTCACAATGTCTTGTATTCTTGGGTTTGGCAGTTTTTTTTATAGATTTGCTTTGTACTGCCACACGTTAAAAATAATTCAGCCCAAACTATCGGTACACATACTCTGCTTTTTCGTTTTTTTTTTCTAGCTCGTTTTCCTTCGATAATATTCGTTACATCTGCGAACTTTCTTTTCCTGCAAACAGTCACTTTTTTGGCGAGCTCTTCCTTCATTGGCTCTGTTTGCACCTTCATGTCACCAGCAACAGCCAGTTGATTGTCACAGCTGTTTGAACAATGAACGGGCTCCTAGCAACAAAACGATAAATTAATACTACATATTTAAGGAATTTCATGCCAAAAGCGATTTCTTTACAAAAATGCTGAAACTTGAAATGCAAGGGTTAACATTACTATACGTAAGTGATAAAAGTTTTATAAATACTTGGCGTGCCGTTTTCGAAACATTCAATATTAACACGGCATGTGTCAATGCGGCGTCTTACGAGCAAGTCATTTGAAAATACTGATTTCTGTTAATAACAAAAATTTTCTGAATATTATTTTAAAAAACAAATTCAATACGGGTCAAACTATGATTAATCTACTGAAAGATGAGAAACATGTTTTGGGCCGTCTTACGGATATATTAATAAAAACGGAATTTGCCATGCTTTCCGTACATATATATATCTGCATTGTAATAAAGTTACACTCAATTTTTAGCATTTTCTTAAAATTTTCAATTTTTTGTATTTCAGTGTTGTGACATTACGGTTGTTATAGTTATTCAAGTGTCAATTGGCATAAATGAACGATGATGATTTGAAATACCAATGATTGTCGACTATACTAAATTGATTGAGACCCACTGGGTGGCAAAACTACCTTAAGGGTAGTTTAACTTGTACATACATTAGTAACTAGCTGATTCTATAAATATGCTCTTAATTGGTGTAAGACCAAGGATGTAATTAATGCATGGGGAACGGTAACAGTTGCATTATATTCTTTTACTATCTATAATCGTCTATGCTTACATATAATTTAATCCATATTTTTTGCAGATTAGTCACTAAAAATTGAACAATAAATGATTAAAAATTATTAAAAATGAATTTTTTTCTAAATTTAATAATTACTTACAATACAAGTAAGCAGCTTACATAAATAGATTTCAGTTACTTCTGTACTTACTATTAGTGGGCTCACAATTTAATCAAAACTTTCTTTAGAAAAATTTTCCCCACTACACAATTAATTGTTGTTAAAAAATAATTATCACACATTATGTCCATTACATCTGTTTGTCAGGTACATGAGATTTATACTCATCTGACAGAACATAATCATTGGCTCATTGACAACGAGCGCATACAGAAAATTGTAACAACAATCCATAAAGGCATGCCTTATTATGAACACGATTAATTTTTAAAATACTAACGATTTCGTGCACTTCATGCAGAATAGAATCAATTTTCACTGCCATAGGTCTTGAGTCTTCTTCCTCATCGTACCGAAAACTTTCAAAATCCATTACGTCATCTTCCACGTCTGAATCAATTATTTTCTCGTCGTCAGACTCCAAATCTTCAGTACTTAGTTCATCTGAAACATTGAAGATTTTGTTAGTACTTACTGTAGCCAATTACGCCTTGTATGTAAAATTTTTTTTATTTTTTCTCATATAGGAAGCTTTCTAATAGCCGAAAAATGAATTTAATGGCAAATTTTAATAAACTGGGGCTTACTCACTTTTTTTCAATATTTACCGCCACTTAAAAAAACAAAATGTGGATTTCATCGATTTTTCCTTTTTATATTTCAAGTTGTACTTACTTCTGAGAATTGTACAAACAAAAAAACCATACTTAAGCTATTAATCGTTGCTTTGAAAAATTTTTTATTGAAAATTCGGATAAATGTTTGTATTTTATAAAAGTACAGGAATTTTTATATTATTCAATAAATTTGGTTTGTGCGTTTTCCTGGGTGTAAGTAGGGAATCGTAGTAATCAGTCATATTTCGGAGACCTTTGACTATTAAACATTAACCTTGGCTTTTTTTTGTGAATTTGATTTTGACTTAATCAACATTGTGATTTTTTTATTCGATTTCATTCACTTTCGGATTAAAAAAAAAAGTGTTTTACACAAATTATTTTTGTTTTTTAATNTCTGATCACAATACAATAAATTGAAAAAATTAAAAAATATAACAAAAAAACTTCATTAAGATTTATTCTTATAATTAAAAAGTATAAAAAATCACGATTATAAATTCATTTTGGACGTAAATGTCGTAAAAGTTTAAAAAATAAATTCAATTAACCTTCAAGAAATTTTCTACAATACCCCTCTCGCTGGTGTTTTTAAGATTTTGAATCACACCAGTCAAACATTTAATTTTCTTATTACGTCGAGATTTTTTGTTCTGGGCTGCAGCCAATTTTCTTTCTTGGACTTTTTTATAAATCAGGAATACGTTCCACCCCTCGTCGTCTAAAAATTGAGATCGTGATATATAATGCGTTTCACATCCATCCATGATTTTGATCTTTTTTGGTGCACTATAATTTTCACATGTCAGTTTCCTACAAGTAAATGATAATTTTTCAGACACGCTACAAAATTATTAAATATGACAATGTATGAAATATTCAAACCTTTTCCTCGAGTTACTTTTAACATTTACAGAATTGACTGATGAAGCACAATTTTGGAGAACTGATCCGTTGCTATGACTTGCAGTATTTGTCCCAAGTGGAAAATAGTTCGAACTACTTTCTTGCATATTCATAGTTGTTGACGCATTTTTTAATGTAGTTAAGCTCTGTATCACAGTAATACTAGAGTCTTCCAGGGAACTATTATCAGCATAATCATTTTTCCTTGTATTATCAAAAGATTCATGGCTGCTACGACTACCTTCGGTGACAGCTACTAGGGAATCATTTGATGCGTCAACTGTTGATACATGTTTGTACATAGGTGGGCTAAGTACCACATCACATTGATCCTGTTGAATATGACGAGGTTCAGACAAGCAAATTGTCTTCCCATCTTCATGTACAACTGGAAGTGCTCCTGTCAGCAACCTTCTTCGGCTTCGCCCTTCAGATTGATGAAAACTGTCTGCACTGAAGTGGTCACTACATATAAATTTAAATTTCACTTCTAAAGACATAGGTAAATTGAGAATATTCAGCCACTTCGTTCTTAAATTACAGTCACTTGGAAACCTGGTAAATAACGTTAAATTATTAAAGAATCAATCAAAGGAAATCCATTTTACGAGGTTACAATAATAATTAAACTTGCGTGTGAAAACTACGTTGATTCAGAGGGGAGTAAACCTCTTTACATTGCAAACATTGCTTCATTTTTCACTTTCAATTTACAGCTGCTCATTCAAAATAGTTTACGCAAACATAGGAAAAGCAATAATAAAATATTTAATAAACTATTACGTAGCAGACGTTTAGTGAGCAGTCTCAGCTGTCTACAATTCTGTAGTTCTTACTTCTCACATTATACCTATATATAGCACTAACACCACGCTTCCACAGCCACTATTCATCAGCCAATCAGAGGATTTTGCCAGAAAGAGATAGAGGGAACTATGGAGCAGTTATCTCTCTTGCTGCCTATATCGCGAGACTGAAGCCCTTGTTCCCTCTATGGCTTATATCTCTATGTCTACATAATTTAGTAATGAAATTAAGTTTGTGTGATATTTTTTTCCAGCAATTTCTTTACATTTTTAGACACGCAATTAAGTAATTAAGATAAGATAACTTTATAAGAGTTTTTTTAGAAGTTAATTTATGAGTAACGAAGAAATACTACTTTTGAAAAAAAGTGATTCTCATACGGGGGACCATTTTCAGATATTTTTTGTAGATTTGCTGAGATTTGAGAGGATATATTTTCTTTACCCCTGCTCCCGAGATGTGTACATGATTATTTTAAATGACAAATGCTTACACAAAAAAGTGAAGGTGCTGGGCTTTGTCCCCAACAGCTCGTTCAACATCCTGTGGAAGGTCTCCAAAAAATTATTTGTCCGATCGATGAGATCGTACACGGAAAAGACATGTGGCTTAACTTTCTTAATCCACTCCTCTTTATAGTAGTACATCAAAAATTTTAGCCATTTCTTCTTCATCAATTCATCGTCGATGAAATATTTGCTGACAAGTTTTACAATAACTTCATAACCTTCTTCAATTTTATCGGCAGGGAGGAGTGGAAGAAGTAACAACTTTTTTAGTATAACATAACCTTCTGGGTTTACTTCTCGATTGTTGTGCCGAAAAAAAATCCTGTAGTCCTTTGACTTTGCTTTTCGTACGACTGCCTACACAGAAAACATGCAAATTAAGGTCATCGTAACGATGCACCTACGCCT